GCCATTTTTCGAGGTCAACAAAAACGATAATCTCCATATGAGGGTTAGAAATCGAAATTTTCTTTTGTAATTGTGTATTTTGCTAAAGAAATTTAAGTTGAAAAAAATAAGTGACTCGACCAAAAAACATTTTAGAAATTGAAATTACAAAATAAAAATTTTTCGAATCAATTTTCGATAATGTCATGTTCCTAACGGGGAAATAACTAAAAGTATACTCTAAATATTATAGGGCAAGTGAGGAACACTTCGCCGACATTGGTACAAGTATTTGCAAGCATAATCATCATCTTAATTTTTTACGTTTTCCCATAAAACATCATTAACTAATGACCTGATACTGTATGGGTTTGTCCTTTTCATAATTCATATATATGTTGATGCTTAATTTACTATCAGTCAAAGATTGACTTAAAATACTATTGAGAAAGGGTCACTTTGATCGTATTTGTCAAACACTTTGATGTTTAAGTTAATGAAAGCGTTATTTTATAGAAATTAGGGATAATATTGTTCTTTGGAGAATTCGGAGTTGTTTCTTGAGACTTAACATTTTGTATAACCAGTGGAGGTCTTTTGTTCTTATGTCATGTTTGAATCATACTAGGCTCCAGGTCAAGAGTCGTTTCATTTGTGTTATCAGGACATATCGAATCGATTAGGCAACAATTGTATAAAGATCGTCATCAACTCTATTCAAAATAATGGCATTGAAACTTGAAAATAATTGTTCATTGATGTATGACGTTTCTGAAATGTGACTTATATACGACCAATAAAAAAAGAGAATTAAGATTTCGGTCATTCAAAAGTGAGGATTTTCCCTAAATAGAATTGTTTCTAGCAAGTAATCCGTAATAATACGCTTAATATTTATGAGAGTTGAGTAACGAGTTTTCATTATACTAAAGATATAAACACACGTGTATATTCATTATTCCACCAGTATTTATACAAGCAGGTGGCGTTGGACAAAAAGAATAAGAGTGATCAGCAATATGCTCATGTTTATCCAATATATATGTTGGTGTTGCCACACATAAAACTACTTATATACTTTGTGTTTGGCTTCACATGGCAAGAAAATTCGGTGGTTTCATCACTCCACATGGGATAGCATGGGCTTTTTGCATTAATAATATATATCTACTAACGTGAATCAATTCTTGTTAAGTCCATGTTTTGTCACATGGTTCTGCCCAATAGTTGCCGTGTACATTTCACTTTCAATATGTAATTTGACCATAAAATGGAATGGACCAATTCATTTGGTTCCTTATCCTATGTAACACAATAGTGGATATGGTTTCTTGGGTTTTTGTTGTTCGTAATTTTGGCTTCTCGTAATTGAATAGAACCACACAAATGCGTATGGGGTGGGTGGGCGGAGGGGACATCTCATTTTACAAGCCTCATTGGATTGAGTAAAGACACGAGGAAAACTTGTTGCTAAAATGCAATGTTGTTGGTTCCACGCGGTTAAGAGAGTTATGTTGAATTGGATAAGATCGGAGAATTGTATGAAAAAGAAAGACGTGAGAGGATATCTATTGTTTGTTCAATATTGACATCTCATTTTACAAGCCTTATTGGATTGAGTAAAGACATGAGAAAAACTTGTTGCTAAAATGCAATGTTTTTGGTTCCACGCAGTTAAGAGAGTTATGTTGAATTGGATAAGATCGGAAAATTGTATGAAAAACAAAGACGTGAGAGGATATCTATTGTTTGTTCAATCTTGCAGACCTCAGCATGCATTTTGTCTTGGGGTATTCTCTAGGTGCAATGCATTTGTTGCTCGGCAGCTTTATTGTGCATCAACACTAGCATAGAATTTCTCATTTCAAAAATTATTTCCTTAAATTAGATTTAACTTAGACGTGGGAATTTTCAAGTTGAACTCAATAGAGTCCTGATTATTTTTCCTACTCACAACAAATTACACTGAATTTGGTTGATAGACTCTCTTACATTCACTTTATTAATATGGGGTAATTTAAGGTGAGAGCGACGTAAGAATGGAGGACCCAGCTTTCCAACCGAGCACGAGGGAATATGAGATGCTTTTTAGTACATTCATAGAGACTGAGACAAAGCTATGTACTTCTTGAATTTGAAGTAAGTAACAAATTTAGATTAAATCAAAATAATAATTCACCTGATTAGATACGTGATCGGGAACCTAATGAGTCATAAACAAAAGGACAACTAGAAAAATGAGAGTAATCAATTAATTAATTAACAAGTGTTGGAGAATTAATTAATTACGTTGCTTGTTAATAGGTCTGATTTAATTAATTGGATTAATTAATTCATGAACCAAATTTAATTAATTGAATTAACTAAATATTTGATCGGGTTAAGTATAAGAGACGGGTCTCAGCCCATTTGAACTTATATTAATAAGCTATTAAAACTTCAGAAAATTAGAACATAATTTATTATTTTGCTAGCACTAGAAAATAGAAATCTAAGTTCTCTCATTCTTGTTCTGTGTGTGAATTTTCATTAGAGACTGAACAATTGTGAACTGCAGATCGTGATTGTTCGTGTTCCTAGATCAGCAAAGGAGTTTATAAAATCTACAGAATGTTTAATTCATATCACAGTTTCTCTCTAAATACAAAGCAAATCATTGGTGGGAATTGAAATTATTTTATTTTCGCTATACATGTTTTAGTAAATTCCCATCAATATCGAGTCTGAATATGATCCCCCAACATTGTTCGCTGGTCTATTATTTCTAGTTAATTTGTAATGTATTTTTCAGTTTCGCCCTCCCAAAAAATTTGACTCGCCCCCGCAAAATTTTG